GAGGGACCCGGCAGCATCTGCCGCCCCTCCCCCCTTCTCCCCCAGCAGCTGTGGATTATCATGTTTGTGCGGTGAAGTTTGTGCATGAGGGATCGCCATCAGCACGCCCTGCGCCTGGGGGGGGACACACACAAGGATTTGGGTTTGCTGGAGGATTGATGCTGCCGGGCCTCCCGGCCAGCGTGTTTATGTGGGTGTAGTGCTGCGGGGTCCTGTGCAAGGGACACGTTTTGCCATGCCGCTTTTGCCATCTTTGCCAGCCGCTTTTGCCATGCCGTCTTTTGCCATGCCGTCTTTTGCCATGCCGCTTTTGCCATGCCACTTTTGCCATTAGCTCGGGCAGCAACCACATGCGGGTACCGCCGCGAGCTGGGGTTGCTGGCAGCTCGAAGTAATCCGAAAAGCCAATAGCGTTGTCTGATTTCTCACTGAAACCGTCACCCTTCCTTGCCCGGTTTCCTTAAATAAGGCCCGCTAACATGCTTTTGTTTTCTTTTCAGATCTGGGAGCGTAGCACAGAACTGGCATGAAATATATGATTTCGTACATCAGCTGACGGAAAGATTTGTGAGGTTCGTTTTGCTCCTTGTGTCATCTATCATACTGGGATATGTTGAAAAAAACCCCAGGCTTTTGTAAGCCCGGTAGATAAGTTTCACAAACGTTAGCAGTTGGGCTTCTAGTACCCAAATTGCTGGAAAATACCAGAAACTTCTGCTTCATTTTATCATGTTTGGAGCTCAGTTAAAAAGGTGACAACATACATCTTTAAATAATTAATCTCTAAAATTATTCTCAGATGTAAATGTGGTGATCTGTTTGATACTTTTTTTTCATAGGCCACACGTCTCATTTCTACTGGAGTACTTCTTGTGTATTGCTCTTAGAGATCTCCAGAAAGGAAGCCATCCGAATACATATTTAATATATATGGTGCAGGGTCAAAAGGGAGTATCTCCCAAGCTCAAACGCACAGGAAGTTTACACCATTTTAACTGTATATTTGTTGTGCATACATGTAATCAACTTTGTAACTGGCTAGCAGTATTGTCTGGCAAGTATTGCTGCCACAGAAACGACTGTTGTAAATACTGGCGAACTGTACAAACAGCTGAGGATCGTGCTTTTAAAGAAAAACAAAATAAACCAAAGGAAGCCAGCCCCCTGCCCGAAGACAGACGTAGATGTTGTGGTAGTTTTTGCAAGCAAAATGAAGGGCAGTGGGCAGTTACAATATGGGCTTGCCAATAAAGGATGCAATTAGGCTTCCATAATTAAATATTGCTTACATTCATCTTGTAAAAAGCAAATCTTCTGTAAACCAAGTGGGTGAAACAAACTTTTGAAAGTTATTTTGTAAGCTCTAGAATAGAAAAAAAACCCCCAAGAGCCTGTGGGTACCAAAGCAGCACTTCTTTTCAGTGAGTAGTGAAAAAAAAAACCAACATTTGCCCCCACAGAAAGGGTGGTGCTTGTTCAGTGTAAACCTTTCAGTTCATCTTTTACAGCCAAATGATGCTTCTCAACAATTCTTTGTTGGAAAGTTACTCCGCTGACCTTGCACACCGAAGGAGGATCAAGTATGGCGCAGGGCCAGACAGTCCAACCTGTGGGCATCTCGCTCGGCGTCTGGGTGCTGAGCACTTGGCCTTATGTGGCTCAGACCCTTCACAGCTTGACAGTTCTCAGGCTGCTGTGGGAGCCTGAACAGTACATCTCCCCGCGTGTTGCCCTGATGGGGCTGGACTGCCCCTGAAGGCTGATAAGCCTTTGTCCTGCCTTCAGGCCTCAGTACACTTTCAGAATAGGGCATGGAGTCACTCAACCTCACCCTTACTTAAACTGAAGAGAGTAGGAATGGGAAGAAGGCAAAGAACCAATTGGTAGCAGTTTCCTTCAGCCCTCACCTGAAGAATTAATTCATGGCAGTGCATCTGCTCTCCAGTTTGACTTGGCTATAATGTGCATGTTTGCAGTAATAGCGCTCCATGCCGATTACCGCAGTTCGGAAAGGCCTGCGCCCGGCTGGGCCGTCAGGTCTTAACGGGCGTGTTCATACAGTCCTCCTCCCGTTGAGTGGTGCTTGGAGAGTGGAACAGAAACAGGATGTCTTGTGAAGAAGACAGTTTTGTGGTTGCCCTAAAGACAAGTTAGCTAAATTGTAACTTTGAGGTTATTACGCACAGAGAGTTGCATCTCAAACAGGGAAGTCTCACGTTACTTGGACTAGGTGGTGATGTAATTACCAGAGGTTGAGATTACAGGTTTCTATTTGGCAACTGCTTGCGGCAGCTAAAAAGATTGATAATCCCATGGTTTAGACTGTAATTTCATTTAGAGCCTCTCAGATTTGTGTATTCAGAGCCTAAATGGGTAGACTGCAAGACTGGATTCTAAATCCAAGATCTGTGCAGTTCTCTGCAAAGACTTGCCCATCACATTTCTGTGTTTAGACTGTAATTTCATTTAGAGCCTCTCAGATTTGTGTATTCAGAGCCTAAATGGGTAGACTGCAAGACTGGATTCTAAATCCAAGATCTGTGCAGTTCTCTGCAGACTTGCCCAGTACTTATATTTCTGTGATGTCAATAATTTTAAGTTGCATCATTGACACAAGTGAACTGAAAATGTATGGTCATTCATCTGTACAAGTGTTATGTCTTTACTAACATTAACTTCGTTAATTAATGCTGGTAAAATTACAGAATTACTGAATATATTGAAATGATCATGAATAACAATTAAAAGCGGGTAGGAGAGATGTTGTTACAATTTACCTTAGGAAAGTTACTTGGGCTTCCAGAGTATCTGTTCTTATGCATTTTCTACTCATAGTTGGGTATTATTCATTGTTATCTTGTTGGAAGAGACAGGTGGGCTTCTTCAGAAAAAGGCTGAATTCCTTAATAAAATCAATTCGTATGGTATTGCTTTTGATGATGACATTTCCCTGGATACTTTTATGGAAGTTGACTTTAAGTGTCACAACTCTGTGTCACCAAAACAAACACGTACTCATTCTGAAAGAGTTTGTCAACACTGATTTGAGATGGAACACTCAGAGGGCACTGTTTCTTTGGCTTTGATGATTTTAAGACCAAAAAGCCCCTTTGAAATTTACACTGTGCCAGGATCGACCTATAAAAAGGGGAAACCGACTGTTGAAACTGTGAAACTGACAAATGAAACTGTGTCCATGTTTAATACCACAGGGCAAGAGTGTGCTCTGAGTCTATGCCCCTGACTTACTTTTACACCAGTGGCCATGAAAATATAAAAGGATGTGTTACGTTTTGTACGTTGGTAGGTCACAGCCTGCGAAGTTCACTTCTGGTTGGGTCACATGGGATCTTAACTGTTAAGCTTAGCATGTCTTGATCTGGAGTCTAGTCAGGCAAGAAAGAATAATTCTGCTACTTCATTCTCAAAGCATCTGGGTAAGGAGTAGATGGGCAGAAATCCTTTAATTCCTCTCTCATTCTGGGTTTGTAGTTCAAAAGTACGTTCTTTGGAAGTTGGAGGGTAAAGATGATGCTAATGAAGCACGAATAAGTGAAGGAAATGCTGTGCATCTGTACAGTTCTCTTCATTTGTCTAAAATGTCTTTTTTTTTTTTTTCTTCCCCTCTTTCCTTTTTTTAAAAGCCCCAAGATGAGATTATCATTTATCGTGTTTTCCACCCAGGCACACGTCATTATGCCATTAACTGGAGACAGGTTAGTGCACTGCTTTTTTAATTTTCCCTCTCCCTCCTCTCCCCCAAGAGCTCTTATTAAATCAGAGGAATAGTAGCAGATACTGAACAATAACTGATACCTTTAAGCGGTGGCCACTCATGAAGCCTCTGTGCAGAGCTGGATTTAATTTTGTGTATCTATCAACGGATGGCCTAGTAAAAACGATGGAGAACGATGGGAAATAAATTCTTGATGTGAGCTCTGCCACTGCTTTGCAGAGCAACTGCAACTGATGTTTTCATCTCTGCATGACTGTGTGTCTTCCTTGGCACAGCAAGGGAAACGATTCTTGCTTTTACTTTTGTAAAGCAACGTGTGTAGCTAAGTCCTCAGTATTTTTTCCCATCTAGGTAAAGCATGCAATGGTAAACAAATGTTTCCCATAATCTTACATAAGGTAGGTATTTAATTTTGTATTTTCAAATCCCGACTTCAGAATCGGTTTTGGACAGCAGAGTTGGTGCCCCTTGAAAGGTGTGAGATCTTTCTGGCACTGTGATGATGTATGGATGTGTCTGAACTCCTCCTTTCAGTTGGTGTTTTCAAAGGCAGTGGAATTCAAGGCTGCTCACTCCGAGTTCTGAGGCAAGTAAGGATGAGCAGCTAGGATAGGTCAAGGAGAGGTGGGGGGAAACAAGGAGAAAACCAAGCGGAGAGGAGATTGTTGCAAAGTTAACTACTAAAATCACAGGAATTGGAAAACGATATTGTGGAATTGGTGCTTTCAGCAGAGGACAGCTGCACTGTCACCAGAGTCCTTCAGTTTCCTTCCAGCCTTGTCAAAACCAACACGACTTCCTCTCTCTCCCTTCTGTCCAGAAGCTAACCACACAGCTTTTGAAAATATGGATAAACCATTCAGGAATCATTTTAATGAACAGTGGCAGGGTGGAAGCGAGGTAGTCCTTCCTTTCTGCTCGTTTCAGTGGAGTCAATACAAGGTGTGGTCTGTAGTCAGTTAACTCTGTGGTGGGCTTTTTGGCTTGTTGTTTGTTTTTTAAGATACATAATAGCAAGTACAAGGGACCTGTCACTGGCAACAGACAAATGCCCCACAGTACAGAAACATATGCTGGCATCCTAGAATTAGGATGTCTAAAGACCCAATTCTAAGCCCCTCCTGTTTTAGCCCCTCCATATTTTACGAAGTGGTCTGAATTGAGAAAGGCCAAGTTTCCACATCCCCCACCCAGACTTGGATACTGCATCTGCTCTCTGCAGGCAAAGACAAGGTTATAAGCCATTTTTCCAGATGGCTTGAGAGAGTTCAGGAGAGGACACTTACGCCTGTTCTGAGGACTGCTGGAGTCAATGAATTCCTTTCTCTTGATTTCAGTAGGCCCTTAATCTCTGTCAGTGGCCTATTCGTTATCAAGCACGGAGAGTCTGCAGTGATAGCACGCAGACCACTTGGAATGCTTGGGCAGAGCTCTGGAACCCTGCCAGGGAAACACAAACGCCTTTTTCATTGCATGTCTGTGGCACGCTTCAAGCCATGGAAAGAAGCATGTTTTTCTCAGAAGCCTCGTTTAAAGCATAGGAAGAACTTTCTTGAGTTCTAGTGAGTTCCTCTGTGGGACTTTAATGTAAAGTTTGATCAATGTTTTGTGAGTGTGGTAGGGGAAAGGAAATAACGACCCTTATTGTTCACGAGAAATTATAAGGAGAATGAGACATTAGTAACTGGGACCATATATACATAGGTAAGAATGGATAGATTCAGTTGGAACAGCTGTCCTTTTAAATATTAAAGAAGTCAACAGAGGAAAATGACTTAGAATGTCTAACTCCCATTGTTCCAAACAGAAGTTGAGGATGCTACGTACAGTGCAGTTTTGGGGATGGGTGTGTATGTGTGTGTGATTATGGGGTATTATGGCCTTGTTTTTTTTAATGTGCATTTTGGTCTTGCAGGGATGTTTTTCCCCTTGCTTACTTGCTAATTCGCCAGCGTCAGGAAACCACAATTCATTCCCAGAAGTTAGTTCAAAGTAGGGAAGTCTTTTTTTGTTTTGAAAGCCTTAGGCTTCTAATTGTTTGCATAAAGTTCTTGCTGGTTTCTACTGTATAATAAAGCTGTGGATATAAAGAAACACACACTATAGTGCTGAAGGCCCCAGATTACCAAATATTTTGTGACTATGAACAGAGCTATGTGAACAACTCTGGAAACAGAAGTCACTGTTAACCACATTACACACAATGCTATAATAAATACATAGAATAAAAATAACACCCAGATGGAAAAGTCTTCTCATAATGGTTATATCCCATTTCAGAGATACGCGTTTTCCCTGTGAAGTTTAGCTGGAAACTATATGCTAAGTGGTAAACAAAGGTTTGTGCATTCACATTTAGGGCTCGGTTTTGCTGCTAGTTTGGAGAAGAGAGTTGTTAGGAAAAGTGGATACACTTGTGAGTATCACCCAGATGGCAAGACATCTTCTACATATGCTTTTGGCCAACTGTATGCTGGCCAGCAGAATTTCAGGTTTCTGTAAACCTGCTTCCTGCAGCCTTTGACTGATGTCTGTGGCCAGGACTAGCCCTGCTGACTCTGCTTAGATAAAACTGCTGAAGCTACAAAAAGATTATATTAATGAAAGTGGAAAAATAGGACACTTATGTACCTGGTACATGACCACCTCTACCTTCCTGTGCTTGTCTGTAGTCTGGTGGAGTTCACTGATGATTCCTTTATTGCACAGAGACGTGTAGTCCAGCAAGACATGCACGCGTTTTGAGCCCTGGTCATGTGAGCTAACCCTACGCTCTGGTTCAAGAAGCTTGCCAAAATAGAGCCATCTGCAGAAAGCATGTTCTGCTGCGTGTATAAAGTACAGCAAAGTCAGCCACTTACGTGTTCTCCATCTGGAGCCCATGCAGGAGGCCTAAAGTTTGAAGCAGAATAATTATTGTAATTGTACCAAGCCCTCTGTAGTCCAAAAAGTGTAGAAAGCAGGAACCTCCTTCAGACTATGCATCTGAGGAGAGTGGTTAGCAGCGTTTACTTTCACCAGTATGAGAGTTCTGTTTGTTAGGGTAATGATCCCTCTTTTTGTTAAAGAACCCTTTCCCCCCACACTTTGTTTCACTAGCAAGTGTATGTGTCTTCCTGTTATTGTACTTCCTTCTTAGTAGCAAAACTGAAGGACCTGTTTTGTTTGCTTTCATTTGTTAGAGATAAAGCATGTTTCCTCACAGGCACATAGCCTCATTCTTGACAATAAATGCATGCTCCTTGGGAATCACAATTTCCCTGCCAGTGCTCATACTCATACACAGTGAAAAACAATTAAAGATTCCAGCACTTCAACAGGTAGAGTGCAACGTGGAAAAGAAATATAAGATACTGTCCCCCATCCGGAAGAGCTACCACCACCACCAATTAAAACTGCATAATTAATATAATGGAGACTCAGTGTTTTATTCAGGGCCTGCCCCTAGTCCAAGTGAATCAGCATGACCTGAGGCTTATGTGACAATTCCAGATGGTTCTAACCTCTGCAGCACTAACGTACAAGCACAAAGTTTTCTCCTTAAAAAAAACAAGGATTTGAGTGGTTTCTAAGATTCAGTTCTCAAGCATGCTTTTCTTTTACTAGAAAGCCTTTCTTTGTACATGTTGAAGATGCATTTATTTCATTTAAGGCAAATGAATGTCCCTTTCTGCAGAGGATGCTTTTAAAGACAGTATGGTGTCTCGGAGAAGCTAAGGTGGCCTGTGCTTTGTAACTGGTCTGTGGCTTTATCATTTGCCCTCTCATGGAGGTGTGCTCTACATCCTTCTGCAATAGAAAGAAGTATTCCCTGTCCTCCACAGCCAGCAGGTGCTAGCTGTGGCCCTCTCTGTGCAAAGAAACACAGCGATGCCTTAAAAACATCAGGAGCCTGACCACTTCGCTGCTGACAATGCTGTTTTCAGCATTCTGTCAATTAAACTTACTTAAAGCAAGAGAATACTTAACAGCAATGAAAACAGTACCTGTTGAGTTGCCTAAATGAACGGTGGCAGCTTGGTGCCATAGAGCCTATCCAGAGAAACCGCTCCTGTAAACTGGTGATAGTTGCCTTGGCATAATTCAAACTGGTGAAGGCATACACTTACATTTAGATCTCAAATCTGAATTGTGGAGCGTGCTTAGGGCAGGAGGGGTTGCAACATTTCAGTTTACGTTCAATTGATGTCTTCAGTTGTTTGCAAAGCTGGGCTGCTCTGTAATCTCGCTTTACTACATGTTTCCAATTCTAAATTTAGTTCTGCAGTGCCCTGCCTTGGGGAGGCACTGAAGGCACAAGACCAGCTCAGTGAAGACTTTGGCCTGTGCAGAGGGCAGTATTTGTGGATAGGCCTGTGTGCCGCGCAGCAGTTGGCACAGCTTCCCTCCCACCAAACAAACCCTCTGCAGCTGAGGTGCCTCCTGCTGCTGCAAGGTCCTGCTCCCTGAGAAAGAGCACAGTAGAGTTCCCCAAAGAGGTAAGAGCAGCGGGTGCTGCTGAAGCTGCCACCAGAACCTCTCCTGACCTCAGCTGGGCTGGGATTTCACCTGCAGCCCCTGGTCACGGACTAGCTGAAAAGAACCCCCGGAGCAAAACCACACAGAGCTTGTAGCCGTGGTTGTGTTTGCCTGGCTGCTGCTGGAAGAATTATCTGAAGTAGTTACAAAGCTTAAAAGAGAGAACAGACTAAAAATTAGATGTGCCTTTTCTAAAAAACAGAGGTGTGATGCAGCACATATGCTGAATGGAGAAGAGATATTAAATTTGTACTCATTCAGCCCAAACACAGACAGGCTGCAAGTTGCTGATTTAGTTTTGCCTTTTCCACTTCCCTCCCTTGTCTGACTTAAACCACAAAGCCAGTAGCCCTTCAGCCTTTATCGCTCCTACAGAACTGTACTGCAGCACTGTCCAGACACCCAGACTGAGGTCACGGCTCTGTGATTGTGGTACAGATGGTTTTAAAACCAGACTTTGTGTGGATTTTTGAGGCTACCAACAATTGCTACAGAAACTAAGAGAAAGGAGTGTTTTAAGAGCACTGAAGTGTGGGAATGGGGGCTGCAGAGTGCCATCACTGGTTGACTAAAGAGAGTTCTGTTACCAGAATGATTCAGGCAGGCATGAGCTTCTGTGCCCACCCTCCAAACCCCCTGGTTTGAGTTTTAGCATGACTGAACTAACCTCTCATGCTGTCCAGTGGGGTGCTTTTGCTGGGGCCTGAAATCAGCCTTGTGACATCCAGACTGGGACTCGCTTGTACCTGACCAACTCAGAGCATGGGTGGAGCTTGTTCACATCTGGCTGGGCCTGTCTTGTACAGATGTGCCCCAAGAGAAAGAGGTGGTGACTGATCAAATGCAGCTAAAAAAGCTCATGCTGCCAAAGATTTTCCTGGAACCCCTTGTAGGCAGAGGCCTGGAAACACCAGAGATTGTGTGACCAGGTCACAAGACATTTTAGATAAATAAAACTGAGCTGATTGTACAAGAGCTATTTTTGCAAAATGAAATCTGTTTCAGAAAACTGGGACTTCAGTTACTGCTTGTTTCTTGGCAGCAGAACACTAACGCCTGTGATGTGCTGCCACTCATTTCTGGCAAGCACTAAGTATGTGGTTTATAATCTGCACTCATACATAATCAGTTTCAAGTTGTTTCTATAGATGCTGAATGTAAAATATTTGGATGAAACAGATTGCATTATCTTACATAACTTGTTCTCTTCCATATATTCGATGCCATATTTCTCTCTTTTTCTTTTTTTTTTTTTTTTTTTCTTCTCCACTCCCCCCTTCCCAATTGTATCAGTTGATCCTGTGGATTGGGAGCTTATTACAGCTAGGGATTGTACTTTGGAACAGCACTTCTAAACATAGAGGAAGCCCATCAGTGGAACAAATGACTAGTGGGTGGCATTCAGGCAGAGTGGCATATGCATTCTTTCTCATTTTGTTTGCTCTAAGGAAAGCTTTCATGCATCCTGCAATGTATTTTCCCTCCATCTCCTCACCCCTGCTGGTTTCCCCTTTGTCACCTGTATTGCTGTACTGTTCTATATATTCTGGCCCAAATTTTGTCCCTACTTAGTTTTTACTTGTCCTTTCCTACCACGACTTTCCATGGACTTCACTGGATCTTTGCACGCATAAGAATTAAGAACTCAGATTTGATTCTTTCAGTAAAGTCCCTGCCGTTCTCTCCCTGTTCATATTGATTTCACTGGGAATAATTTCTTCAGCGCTCACTAGCATCTTCTCCAGTTTTACCATCAAAGTTCAGCGAGCAGCTCAAAGTCAAAGGTGGATTTATTTAAAAGCCCATGAGAAATCGTGGCACAACCTTATCCTTCTGTTACATAAGTGAACTGTGACCCGTGTAAGTGTGATGTCTTGCAAAGGTCACACAGAGAGGTAGTGACAGCCAAGAATTAAAAAAAAAGCTCTCTCTTTAATCCTAGTCCTCTTCCTTGGTTACAAGAGATGTTTTGCAAATGCTGAATTTGCATATTGATATTTATTTTTTAAGGGAGAATATTTTACTTATTGCAATTCTGTCCCAACCTGTTAAATACCTGCGTATTGCCCTGGAAGATTTCTTCGGAAATAGAACTTAGGGGATTTCTTTTTTAATTGCAGGGTGATTGGAAGTGAAGTTGATTTAATTGAGCAAAGTGGACTTAATATAACAGGATTTTCACTGGGCTGTTTAATGCTGAGGCTTTGCCACTTCTTTGCAGTATCTGCTCCGTCTGAAGCATTTTTCTTGATTCTAGCTCTTTGACTCACTGAGGCATATTGTGTTATTTAGGTCTAAAATATCTGTTACCACAGTGCTGCTTCCGTTGTGAATACAAAATCTGCCTCCACATGGTATCTTAGCTAAATGCTATATTTTACAGATTTTAATTTCACATCTCCGTTATGACAAATTCAAATTTTTCCATCAATAAACTAACCCCTTTCCCCAGTTCAGATCACACTGACAGGCTTTTACCTTTTTGTTTTCAGAGCAAAAATCAAGAAAGGTCTTAAGGATTTGGAGGAGGTAAAACCAGCAGGTGACACATATATACATGAAGGATTAAAACAGGTAGGTTTTACTCATCCTCTTGCAAATAAAATATTCTCTCTTCTCACCTTTTGGGTAACAACAACAACAACCTGTAACATAAACGGATTGATTGTATGCTTCGGTCTGTTACATTCAGATCTTTTTTTGTTTCCTAAGTGGTCCCAAGATTGCCCAGATACTATGCAAATCCCATGCAGAAGATTAGCCATCATAGAAAATTGCCATATGGAATTTCTTTCACTTGATCCTTCGCAGTAGAGAGCAGTTCTTTGTCGTGAATTTAACAGCTAGCACAGCATACCAATTACATGGTAAATAGTCACATGCAGTTTGGTAGGGCTGCGAGTTTAAAAGTGCCTTCTAGAACATGTGCTTATGGAAAGTTTACTGCACAGATCAGCATTTTCAAGACAAACGGTCTTAATTTTGGACTATCTTAATTATGGAGTTCCCAGCTGATAGTATACTTTGTGATTTTGCAAAAAGACTCAGGCCTTCAAGCGAAAGGATAAGGCGAGGATCTCAGCTGTCACTGTTCCGGATAGAAACTTGTTTTCTTCCTTTATGCCTACAGAGCCAAGTTTGTAATTGTGATCTGCGGGCTGAAAAGCTGGGCAAACAGAAGTTTGTTGCCGTTTAAAAAAATACTTAGTTTTAAGCCATTCCTTTTATATCTTGGAACTTACTGACTGGCATTTGAAATGTGGGGCGTAGCAAAGGGAGCCTTATGGTGGATGTAAAGAGAAGTGAGTTTCACAACTCGGAGAGTATCTGTCCTGAAAGACTCACGTATTTCCAAGGGTCGATCAGTTAGTGACCCCAGCACATCAGAGGTGGGCTCACCGGTGACTGGAAAATACTGATGAATGATTTCCTTTTTAGTAGTGAGTTAAAGGGCGGCAGAGGATTGTCAAAAGAAATGGGTTTGAAGAGGAAGTTGAGTGTTGTTTCAGATATTATATTCATTTAAAAGATGCATCTTGGTTAAAAGTTCAGGTGTAATTTTAAGCTGGATTTTTTGTTTTCAGGCCAACGAGCAAATTGCAAAGCAAGGAGCCTCAAAGTTTTCTAGTATCATCATTGCACTGACAGATGGCAAGCTAGATAGTCGGATTCCCTTGTATGCAGAGAAAGAGGTGAGTACTAGGTGAAAACGCATGTGATATTCTGAAGAGTTTGGGTGTTGCCTGTTGAATGAAAAAAATGCTTATTCCTCTGCTTTATTTTGGGGCAGGCAAAGAAATCCAGAGAGCTGGGAGCTAGAGTCTACTGTGTTGGTGTCCTTGATTTTGTACAAGAACAGGTAAGAACGTTACTATTTAAGATTACTAGGCAGCACCTTGTCACAGGGTTTTACACAGTTAATGTTAAGTAATAAAGAAATTAATTGTACTACGTTAGGCAGTATAACTTCATCTCTGGCTCACACTCAGGCACTCGGATGTGTATATAGGTATAAATAGAATGCGTGGGTGTCACTTGCATTGCTGAGAAGACTTATTGTAAATACCCTTGCTAACTGGTAGCTGGAAAAGATGCTGGCAAAACCCCTTTTGTTAAGGTGGCAACCAGATTAGGCGACAGGTCGCATGAACAGAGTAACTATAGACAAGCTTACAGCAGCGTGTGTAACAGCCTTGGGATAAGAAAAAGAAAGAAGGATCCCTTTCCTTCATTGACTGAGAGTTCTTCCAGAGTTGCTATGTCCTAACAGAGGCTCTAGCTACTCTTGCACCGTGAAAGTGACTTAAATGGAGAAGTATACAAAAGACTCTTTACTATAGAAGGCACATAGGAAGGATTTTTAAAGGAAGGCAGTGCAAACAGGTGAGGCAATTCTGGAAAAAGTTATGAAATCACTACCAAGAGACAGGCCCTTGAAGGTTCCTTTATTGTGGTGGTTTGACACGACAGCTAGCCACTATACCATTCTGTCAGCTGCAGTAGCTTGTAATAAGTCCTCCTATTTAGTCCTAGTTAGCTGTGAGGGAACTCAACATTTTTCTTCTTGTTGGAGAGTTGTGAGTTGGTTTTAGACATCCATTTACATTTTAAGGGTGAAAAGCAGTGTGACGGATTTAGTTTGCCAAATGATTCACATGTTTGCATGTGTGTTCTCTCCAAAGCTTGAAAAAATTGCTGACACGAAAGAGCAAGTCTTCCCTGTCACCGGAGGATTCCAAGCACTTAAGGGGATAATTAATTCTGTGAGTATCAGGCAATAAGCTTAACATTTCCTCACGATTACAGCATACTCTGCGCTCCCACTTACTTTTCCAGGAAGAATTGGTTCCTAAATCAGTAATTGCAATATATTTAGTTCTTTCCTCCTTATCTTAGAGATGCAGGTCTGTAAAATAACACTGCCTGTCACTCCTGCAATTATTCATGCTCCTTGTGTGGAGTTTGAGGACTCCAAACAAGTGCGGTGAGTGAGTTTGATGGGGGGGGTGCATTGAGGAATGGCTGCTGTAGCTTTGTCTGAAAAAAATCAAGCCTGTTACTCCAGGAGGGTTTGAGAACAACTGGTTAAAATCATTAGGAATGAGGGCAATTTAGGGATTGCCCAAATCTTCATATACAGAGAAGCATTCTAAATGCATACTTTAGCCTTGACTTTAACCACTAGTTTTTCCAGAAAGTTATAAGACTTTCAGTTCCTTTTCTTCAGCATACCATGAGAAACTCCCATCAGTGAGATGAGGCTCTTCAACTGATTACTCTGATTTACAAGAAGGGATGAAAGCCAAAAGAGCATTTTGGCTGTGATCAGTGGCTTGACAGTATTGTCGCCGTGTGTCAAGAAGACACCTTTGGTTGTGTGGACCCAATTTATTTGCCTCATCTTAAACTAAAGGCTGTGTGGTTTATGCAAGGTTACCAGCGCTGCTGCAGCATGTAGGCAGCACGGTGGAAAAAAGCTTACTGTCAAAAGTCAAGTCAAAACCAATAATGAAATCCTTTTTCTGAGAGAGATCCCACTGTAATTCATTTCCCCTTCCTTTTTTTTTTTTTTGTAATAAAGAAAGGATACCACTCACATACAGGATATTATGCAGTCATGAGTTTATCACTTCCCTTGAATAGTGTGTTTTTTGTGGAAGTTAATGTCACAATGAAACAACTTATTTTCCTCCTTGTTGCTTAAAATGAATGTAATTTGAGAGTCTTCCTCGCACAATTTAAAGAGATATAATCAACCTTTTCATGCAGTGACATTCATTTTCCTGAGAAGACAGTACACCCCATGCTGTAATGCTTCTTTAAAATCTCGTTCTGTGTCATTTTAAAGACAAGAATCGGTCATTCGGCTTGTTCGAAGTGAGGCAACATTGAAGCCACTAGTGATAGATGTATTACAAGAGCTGGATGTTTAACCCCAGTTGATTGCATTAAGTTTCCAAGGATACTGCATTTCAAAACGTGTGTGCCAAGCCAGAACCAGAGAAAGGACTAAAGGCATTTGCGTTTGGAGTTTCCGCTCCAACAAGGGTCACTGACCTGCAGACTGCACCCTTCCAAGGCATCAGGTTTCTCCACTCCTGTTGCTTTTTGAGGAAGGAGCAGGAGTACTGTCGCTTGAGATTCCTGAAGAACTCAGCTTGAGGCGTCTGTAATTCAAACACACGAAGATTGGCATAACATATAGGTTATCCCATTATCCCCCATTCTCTGGTGCGGTATTTTTGGGCAGTCTCTGGCTAGTAGTAGTGCAACTCTACCACTTTTATACCTCCCAGGAGCTTTCAAGCACTTTCACTTTGTGGACAGAGTGAGGGAAGCTTTTCTGATAAGATTGGACAGATGGTGTTTGCACAAGCCTCAATCCAGCTGCTTCTGGCACATATAAGAAACCCAAGTGTAAAAATCCCAGATTTGAGCATATCATAGCTGTAGAGCAAGAAAAGACACACATAACAGCAGCACCTTGTTTTAAGATAACAGCACAGGCAGGCACTGTACAGAAAAAGCAAACTTCAAGTATATTCTTCTACTGCTTAAATGCACTGTCTGCTCCTTTAAACTGTGGTGGAATTCCTGAATTGTTTAGGGTTTTATTTAGCAGACTGCAGCTAGAATAGACACTTCAGCACTTGGCTTACTGCATATTTCTGTCCATAAAGAGACTCTTAGGTTGCGGCTGTCAGAAAATGTTTTGCTGATAAATAAAGCAGCATGAGAAGGTCTTCCTGATAGGAAACATGTCAACTGACTTCAGTCTTACCTGTATCAGTCTTGTTTATTGGGATAATGGACCAAACAAAACCAGTTAGTGCTAGTGATGTTATAGCTCCCAAGAGCTTTTAGAGACTTGAATATTGTTTACAGCTTTCTGAAAAGCACTGAATCTAACCAGAGTTTAATTTAGCTGTCAAGGCATTTGAAAGCCTCCTTTTCTCTAGTAAGCATATTAAATATATTTGAAGCAGTGAGAGAATGTTACCCTGCCAGCACCGCTGTTTTACCACAGAGCATGGATGGAAGTAGCTATAGATAGTATTTATTGGTTGGTTTGGTGGTGTTTTTTGTTTGGTTTTGTGTGTGGGTTTTTTTTTTTTTAATGCACGTGTGGTGGCTGTATTACTGCGATTTTTTGGTATGCTGTAGTTATAACTCCATTTTCTTTGAAGGGGTTTTGACTTATTGTGACAATTCATTCTCATTGCATTAAAAAAAATGATAAGCAGATCTAATTGAACATGAAATAGTCACAGTTTTTCTTTTTATTCACAATTATAAGTCCATTTCAGTTTGCAAGTTAGCTAGAGAATACAGGCTCAAGGAGACACACTGTCATAGAAGGGAAAGCTAATTTCAAAACATGAAAATGAAATACCGGTGTTACAAACATGCAGAAATATTGCTCAAAGCGTGGTGTCAAAGGTGCAGTTGTGAAACTCTCCATGAACATTGTTGCACACTTTTTGTTTAGAAAAAATACACTATTTACAGAAATGGCAGTGACCCAGCAATTAAAACCCTCAAGTGAAACTACAACACAGAAGTGCTTAGTAGGAATGATTGGAGGAGCTGCTCAAAGCCTCTGCTACATTTGTCTCTACTAGACTCAGCTGTGAAGTTTTTTGACTGCAATGTTGTTATTCCAGGAGAGCTGAGCAGTTAATCTTCATTTGTGGATGGAAAATAAAGTGATGAGCTTTATCATAGAGTTTCTGTTAGTACCTGCTTCTGTGGGTGTTTGGTGTCTAAGCAATTATTCCAATTTATTGTCTTTGGACAGATACATAAAATATGTTTAATTGTGGCCAGGGAGTAACATTCAGGACAGTCAAGATTAGCATTTAGAGAAAACCTACCTCAGAGGTTGAAAAGCTTGCCTTGTGTTTTGACCTTCTTAGTTCAGATAAAATCCCAGCAAAGTGACTGTAGATTTAAGCACCACGGTGCTGTATTGTGTGTCTGTTGAGTAATACCAACTAATGATTGAGAACTCTGTGCAGACTTCTGTGAAGAGGCAACTGTTCTGTGAAGTTTGCAGCAATTTTGGCATTGCTGATACCTCACTTTACAAAGTAGTAACTAAACAGCATTGTCAGGGTAAATGAATTTAAGCAAAAGTCTAGAGCTTAAAAGAAAAATGCTGAAGGCAAGTTATGCTATCAAGAACAGTTTACTGATGTAGTTTGGCTGGTAATTACATGGAGTGTGGCCTCATGAGCAAGCCATAGCAGTGTGAACTGTAAGGGTTTGGGAATACACAGTTTATATCACCATGTGACAGTTGTACTATGTAAGAAAATGCAACCCAGTCTTTCCCTTCCTGTATGTGATTTATCTTTTTTTTTTTTTAACCCATTTGATAACCATTTGGGAATTTATCATTTACACTGTTAGGTCTGAATCTGACTATCATAACCAAAATAGCACCTTCCTACCTGGATTTGGGGGGGATTCAGGAATCTGAGTGAGGCTGCACATCTCTTGATACAAGGCTGCTGCGCTCTAAGCAGCCAGTCTGTCATCCAGCTAACTGGAGTGCCTCACTTGCATCTAACAAGATACAGTCCTGAACCAGCACTTTCACTGGGAGAAACTGTAGAGATTTTGTTCTTATTTAATAGCTCAGACTTTCAGTTTCCTTAAAGGATCACTTTCTGTGAGGTGACTGCGGGGCTGACAGCCTTAGGAGTTGGATAAGATCTCAGGCATCAGGTAAACTCTTCTCTGTAAGGCACAACCAGTGTTGGACTTCTTGTCAAGGAGGGGAGCAGCAGACGTTTGTATTCATAGGAGCAGCATAGGTTGCTGTCCTGAATACTGCTCGTTTTAACTGTTTGATCATGTATGAAATGATGAATGGAGAAATAATGAGAACATCAATTAGATTAAGGAGGTGGGAGCCAAGGTGCTGCTACCACTCAAATCAAACATGCAGTGTCTTTAGACAAGATCATCTCTTTCCATAAGGCTGAGGTTTCTGTAATGCTCCCATAACTGCTGTAAGTAAGTATGTTTTATTTCCATTTTTTTCCTGCAGTGTTTTTCATGTGGCTTGCACAGCTGAGCAGATCTGAATCGCTTTTATGAATTCAGTTTCATGTTCTGAAAAACAAAACCAGTGGAAGATTCCTGCTTCCCCTTTCGCTTAAGTAAACACAAGTCCTGCTGATTCGTGGGTGAAAGTTGTCTGGCTGTCTCTGCAGGCAGAATTGGACAAGGCTCTTGCCTTTAAAAGTTACATTAATGTAATTCACTTTAGTAACATTATTAGAGCGTGACAGTTCTAAGTAGACTTAAACACATTTTTGTACTGAAGTGAGTTGGCAGCACTTAATACAGGAAGTTAAAATATATTTTGTACTTAAACCCCACAAAAACTTATCAGATAAGACTACAGGAACTGATTCATGCAGAGCTTAAGAGGAAGTAAGACAGTTCAAAAAAAAAAATCAGTCTAGAATTGTTTTACCTTTAATTATTACAAAATTTCTTAAGAATTCTACCCAAGAAGGATTAGAAATAGAACTGTTAAGCTCTCTATTTGCTTGTTCATTTTGCAGGTGCTCAGTTTTGAATTGTTCATTTTATGTGGGAACACCACCCTTAAACACAGATCTGCTCTAGTTGTAAAGAACAGTCAGTGAAGTCTCTCTGGCATTTGAGCAGTGGTGAAGGGTATCTATTGACTATCCTGAGAGTCTCCCTGTCAGTTAGATGGTTCCTGTATGTTCCTGTGCATGACAAT